CTTATCTGATAAAACGTGAATATCGGAATTTTGAAAGAAAAATTTTTACAGTAGAATCCGAAATGGTTTGTCGACAAAAGGGTGAAGAAAATCTTTCCGAAAAGCAAGCGTCGCGACGACGGCTTAAAACTATTTGGAAAGTTTAAGAAAAAGAGAGAGGAGACGCGAGTTGCGAAAAGACAGCCGAAGCGGCGAATCGTGAACATCAAACGAATTAAATCTCTGCGGAGAACCGACCGCAGAAACTAATATCTCGACGCTTCTTCCGTCCGTCCATCCGTCCGTTCGTTTACCGTTTCATCGTCGTGTCTCAACATCTTTGTCGTGCAAAATTCTCATTCGCTTTGTCTTCGATTTCATTTATCAATGTATTCTCGAATCTGGCTGATTTTAAAAACTAAAAATAAATTTTAGGCTCAAAGAGAATGATTGATATAAATGAAAAGTATCATGGGATTAAAAGATATATGTAATGAATCAAATTAATCGAATCCTATCTTCAAATTGAAATTGAAGTATAGAAAAAATTAAATATATGAATTTATTGTAATATATCAATCGGTGTACAGTGTGGTTCTCTCGTCTTCTAAATATCGTTTAAATATCAACAAAAAATTTCGAGATTCAACTTAACCATTAATTTAAATTTATACTGATGAGGACCTAAACGAGAGATCGACACGTTTATTTATATTATTGTGTGATTTTTAATAAAGTTACTTATAATTCACACGAACAACTAGTGTTGGCCCACAATAACTTTACATATATATATTTAGAAAAAAATTAAAGTTAATACGAAATTAAAATTAAAATATTGCAATTATTGTATGAAAAATGACGCATATTTTTTCAACAGTTTTTTCTCCCATCTTTCTATATGTGAATTACACGTTGCACTTGGGTTGCAGTGTAATCGAATCAATATACGCCTTTCACGAAAAGGTTCTCTTTCGTGGCAAAGTGCTTGATAGTCTCCTCCTTTATTATTTTCTCGTCTATAGATTGGTAATTAATTTCCTCCCGTATGTGCGCGCGCTGTATAGCTATTAATTATTTCTTATCCACGTAATATTGATTTCAGTCGTAAACATAACTAAATTAATATATCGGCAAATATAGAATATCCCCTAGTCGTTCAGCACATATTTATTGCTCGCATATAGAACTGATTACATTTTTGTTTTTTTAGGATAACGACTACGTGCCTTCGTCAATTTAATTAGATTAAAAATATACTTGATAAAATAAAAAATAATAATAAAACTATGTATATATGTATATATATATATATATATAAAAAATAATCTGTATTAATGTTCATAATTTTCTCAACAAGAATCAAGATTCCGAGGTGTTTAGGACTAACGGTTAATTCGAAACGTTGGCTATTAGAAAAGCGGGACATGTGGATTGAACGAAGCACGTGTTACTCTGTACTTTTGGGTTGCGTTTAAGCGATTAACGAACGAGCGCGGCTGTACCCTCTCTTCCAATTAGCGCAATAAAATGATTAAGACGGTAAGAATGCCAACACACCCATTCTTTCAAATAAGGCGGACTGTCCCCCGAAAACGAGACGTCCGGTCACCTTATACGTGCACGACGTCGCTCGTGCCGGTCAGGGAGAATTTTTTAAATGGACTGTACGGTCGGGTTGTGCAGGTGTGACCGATGGCGGCGGCCTTTGATCCTAGAGCGACTCCTCGGCTACTTTGTCCAAGACTCATCGCGTCCCCCCCCCCCCCTCTCTCTCACTCTCTCTCTCTCTCTCTCTCTTTCTCTCACCATTCGATTCGATTATTTCCTAATGGCTAACGCCATTGCGAAAACGATCATTGCGCATATTTCTCGGTAAACATTGCACATAAAAAATACACGGGGTCGGTCTGGTTAATGGATAACGACGTTAATCGATCCTACTTTCCTCCGAGAGTCGTCGCGAGTATAACGAAAATTATAAAACGAAACCCAGTATTACACGGTATCGTCCGCTAATCAGAAACGATGAACGATGATTATTTTAGACTATTTCTCGAGGAAACAATTATTAAGCCAATAAAATCGATAGAACAATTTTCATGTCAAGCTTTACACACCGCTAGAATAGTTTTCCACGATCTAATCTAATATAAAGAGATCACCTATAGATATAATCAGCAGATATTAAAATAAATTATTCCCATGTTTTAATCTCGACAGATAATGTTAAAACGTGTATTCGAGAAATTAGATTGTAGAAAGAGAGAGAGAGAGAGAGAGAGAAGAAGAAGAAGAAGAGATGATTACTTTAATTGGCTACTTTTTTTAATTTGGAATTAATTTATAATAACAAGTAGATTTTTAAGAAAATTACCGCACTTACAACAAACTCGATAACACACCGGCTTGTTAGAGTAGCAATCCATTTTCTCTCAGGAAGTATTTTAATATAAAAAGTTCATAATGAAAAATATGCGTGCATTAACATAATCGATTCCAGACACACTTCGATATAATTCAGAATCAATTACAATTATTTAATTAAAAGATTTAGAATTTCGCGGTCGAGATACGTTAGCGCTAAAGAATGCATCGTGTCCTATTTATAACTGCATGTTGCATGTACAGCAATATCGCAAATTGAGATTATTTATATCCGTATACATCTAATCTGATAAAACTACAAATCGCTTCGGGGCTAAAGGCGAAACGTCTGGTGGAAACATTTTGAACTACGGCTCAGCTAGTAACTGAGAACTATCATAGTTATGGCTCTCGGAATTCCATGGACTGAGCACCGTAACGAATGCATAATATTTTTTTTTTATGGGGAGAACCCTTCCATGACTCGGAAATACATTTAATTTGTAGTCCTCGGAGAGGATTCCGTGAACTACAATTTCGACAATGGTCGGCTGAAAAAAATTCCGATTCGCTTTGCATATCCCCCAATCCCAGGATTATAAACTTTCGATTACTGTATATATACTTTCGTACCGTGCGCGTTCTGTATATAGTGTTTATATATATTTCCAATGTCACTTTGTACATCAGAAGAATACCATAGATCTTTTCTCGAGGAACCAAAATAGAGATCAAAATAAAAGGAAGATAAATGCGTGCTCTTAAAAGATTTACACCTCAACTGCTTCAAACTTTAACTCCTCTGTCGATGCGTAATTTTTCATTGTCATTTCGCTACCGTTTCACAAAGTTCTCGCTGTAAAATGTAAAAGTGAAAACAAAATAAAATCTATGCAAGTGTTTTTTATTGTTCAAAATTAATCGGGATTTTTTATACGAAATTCGCGCAGAAAACTATAAAAATGTTTACTGTTAAAAATTTAACATATAAGTATCCAACACATGCATTGACAGAAGAATTAATACACAAAAAAAACAAAACAATTAAAATTTAAAAATATAATATGAGGCTCATATGAATAAATCAAAAACATAAATTAATAGATGCCAATAAGAGCCGACACTTGATTTTAATGTGTAAATTCATTTGATTAGCAAAACAATAAGTATAATACATTAATTAATACGTATACGTTTCGACCTATGATTAAGGTCCTTTTCAATACTGGTAAAATTAACAAAAATTTTTTTGTATAACATTATTAATTAATGTACTTATTGTTTTACTAATCGAATAAATTTACACACTAATTATCCAGTGTCGGCTCTTATTGGCATCTATTAAAACAATTAAAAATAGAAAGAATATACAGAACTCTTAATATTTAGAAAACAAAGAAATAAAAAAGGCAATTAAGAGTCTAAAACATAAATGATTTATTAGATCACATTTATGTTTTAAACACTTAATTGCCTTTTTATTTCTTTGCTTTTTAAAACAATTAAAAAAGTAATACCTAACATGACCTCTGCTTCACACAAAGCTGTTTGCCAAACATTTATTCACTACGACACATGTGCTTCAATCTCTGATCAGCACGTATTACTTACTGGCAATCTCATGAAATTAATTATCTTGATTACCATATAAACATGTCTATTCTGTATCTATTGATATACCTTTATATAAATTCACGTAATATAGAGAAACTCAATCTATACGCCCGATCCATCTGCTGTAATATATTCTTATCGACTCTTTCTATCTCTTGTTTTATTCCTATATATGCGGAATTACCTACGCATATATATACGCGTGTTAAGTGAGTGGCGAAAACGATAAAGCACGCGGACACTAAACGTTCGTTTAATTTTTCAATATCCTTTTTTCCCCTTTCGTACAACTCGTATTTCACTAACGCGTTTTCATGGAGAATTTTTTCCCACCAACGCAGCTTCGCGAGCGATTACTCATACAACGTCAGCGATAAAATCTTAATTCATCTATTCGTATCGGTAGCTAATTATCGCCGTTGCGTTCCCCGAGAGACACGGCCCGCCGGGACCCGACGGTCTTGTTATCGGCGGCGTTTAATTGCCGTTGAATCGACGCGTTTCGTTTGTGCAATACTCGCGTCTTCGCTCATTCATTTATCCCGCGTGCACGATAATCGATGCCGTGAGAGACGCGGCGCTACCACGAAGGCAGAATCATTCTCAGATCTTTCCGTGAGAAAGATCTGAAATCCACCGATCATAAAAAACGATCTTTCAATTATTTTTATCGATCGTTGCCATTCGCTTTTTAGAAAGTTACTTTTTGCCTCTTTGCAAGCAACATTTGTAAAGATGTAGAATAAATTATTTTTTGCCGATATTTAAATAGTACAATTTTCCCATTAAACTAAATACCGATGAGAATAAGCCATTTACGGTCCAAATAAGAGTGTTTGTTTCCCATTAAAGTTACTTGAAAAATTTAACAGTGACACTATTATATAAAATAACAAAGCCACTGTGATTATGAAAGTTTAAAAAAAGTCTTAAAAGTTGATCCCATGTGTGTACCTGACGTGTCGTAATTTGCCACGAAATTATTGATAAAAAATAAGTATGAAACAAAACTAACTGTGTCCTACTTTCTTGTATTGCAGAACAAGCCAATCACTTGAACCTGTTCAACAACCGCCAACAGCCGAAGAAGAAGCGCAAGAGTCGGACCGCGTTCACGAATCAGCAGATTTTCGAGTTGGAGAAAAGATTCTTGTATCAGAAGTACTTGAGCCCGGCCGACAGGGACGAGATCGCCGCTCAGCTGGGTCTGAGCAATGCCCAAGTGATCACGTGGTTCCAAAACAGGAGGGCGAAGCTCAAGAGGGACATGGAGGAGCTTAAGAAGGACGTGCAGACTGTGAATCCACTTCTGGTCGCTCAACATCACAAGACTTTCCTAGAGAACGTGCAAGATCTGGGAATCTTGAAGAAGCGACCGTTGCCAAATTCCATGGACGAGAAGTCGTAGAGGTCGACTTTTCCGACCTTCTGTGCAATTGAGGCTCGAGGAAAATCGGACGACGAACAGTTATATTCGTACGATATCAAGTGTTTAAGACCGAAATGAAAGATCGAAACGCGTGATGCATAATTTCGACTGCATTTTTGTACAATAGTCTTTTTTCTTACGTGTGATTCGCTCCCTTAATTTTAATGCTCTTTCTTGAAGAAATTGCGAAGAAAGTCTTACGATGAGAAAGCCCTTTTCAATGATCTTGTCTCTGTTCAATAATCTATTACGGTTCAACATATTTAAGAAGTTTCATATTTTTTTCAAAACTGTAAATTCAATTTCTCAACGAATATAAATATACAATGATAAAAAAAAAAGTTACAATTCTTAAAAATGCCGGGAGAAAATATCACTTTTCAAGAGAAATTTTTTTTGCGCTTGTTAGAACTGGAAACAAAGTGACGTTCCCACGTCGTAATTTACGGCTTCGAATGGAAAGCGTATCATAGTCCGCTGCAATTTTACGCGCAGAGCGCGATGTATTATAATGTATTTATTACAAAATGGAGAGAAAATGAGAGGCGGGCCGTGAGAGAGGAGGGCCAGAGGTAAAGCCGTCGATAATAAATTATTAAATGAATATTATTCCGTAAATTATAAATAACCACACGGTGTTGTGGCGCTATTGTGTACATATACTGTATATAGGTATATACATCGTTTCCTGGATAACGTTACGTATATAGGCATGATAGAGATCGTTATACATGATTAGAGTTACAAGAAACAGTAAACATAGATGGGACACTGCAATATACCTGATTATGAGTTTAATTAGTGAATTTTAGGAGGGAGAAGTAAAATGTATATCTGCATACGACGATTCGTAAAGTGATAGTGAGGTACGTGAGACTAAAAATTAGGAGCGCGTGTGTAAACCGACTTAGTACAGTGTATAGCGAAGCTAAATAAATGAAAACATTATTGAAATTCTTTCTGCAGCAACTTCTCTTTGATTACATCATATCTTTCCCTTCAATATCCTGTACCATTTAATCTTGATGTAGAAGCCTTACAAAGTGCAATTATTCACTTCATTTTTAAAGGTGAAAAGTTTAACAATAATTAATACAAATAGGAAGGGCGATGTAAGAGAGTCAAGTAAAATTTCATTTAAAAATAATACAATATATATATATTTAATTTCAAATTTTAAAAATAGAATATAAATATAAAAAAATATATAAAAAAAATAGAATATCGAATAAAAAGTTTATATCATTAAGAATGCACATTAGGTGTATAGCTTCTGCAAAAAGTGACTGAAATTGGAAATTTCTACTTTCCGATTAGGATCAATATTTATATAAAACAATAAAAAATAGGTGATTTATTTATTATTGTCGAGCCTCCTTCTACTTATTTTAAAATAATAAAATTCTGTTGTATAAATAAAAACTTTCTCATTTTTTACCTTGATTATTTTTAAAAAATATGTTTACTTGTTGTTAAAATAATTTTCTGTCCGGCCGATTTGAAATTGTCACCAAACTTGTATATGTATTTATTTTCAAATATAATATAGTAAACGCTCGAAATAATGTTCTTCGTTCGTCATCGGATCAAGGATGTAATTGAAAAATCATAAAAAGTCCGTGTGTTTTCTTCTCTAATCGCTTTAACGAGAAAAGATTTACATTTTATTACGCTTTGCGTAATACTGTATACGTATGAAAAAGGCTCGAATGTGCGTCGGCGTGCAAAGAGCCGAAAGACGCAGTGCATAAAGATGAAAAGGAATTATTCTCCAAAAATAGCATTTACCGCGTTGCGGTCCTTCTAAGAATCTTTTTGAAGCTATTCGTAAGGTTTACCCAGAGGCGTAATTTATTAAGATAAAGTTATTTCGCGGATCTTTTCCTCGTTGTATCTGCTGGTATCCGGAGTCTGGTACTCGTCATAACCGGAAAGCTTTTGCTACCGATATATTGGAACTCTAATACAAACCGAGATGTACCGAAACGATGCGGATATACAATTATATTATATGTTTATATTTTTTCATGTAAATATCCACAAATAAACGAGAAATTTACTGGGTGAAGTCGAGTCCTTTTAATGCTGATTTGATAAGCGCAGTTATTGTCATGCATATAAATCTCAAATTTATGTGCTTACGTAACGAAAAACGTTTTTTAAAATAAAGTCTATTTAAAAATAAAAAAAAAAATGTTAACTAATCACATTTCTAAAGTTTAATTCTTGATGAATGATCGTTTTAATTATGAAGAAAAATTTTATAATTAAATACTACGTATGTAATTCTTAATAATGCATCTTGGATCTTAATAATGTTAAATATTAAAATCTATGAATGACATTAAAAATCTGTAAATAATTAATTTATATCGCGAACAATATTACCTCGGCTGGGAGTCGAACTCGGATATTTCTGGCATTCGCGTGCGAACGAATTATATTAGATGCATCCAGCTTGATCGTAAATGGCATCGGTATTTATAGTTTGAGATTTTCACGGTCCAATAAGATTTGATATTGTTTACAATTAAAATTGAACCGCTTAGCAAATACTAGTATCGAAGAAAGGGTTTCAATATGCCAGAAACGTAAGCATCGTGAGCTGTACGCTCGCAAAAGGCCTTCGGGCCCTTATTAGAAATGTTGAGAGCACCCAAGTACACCCGAGAGGAGGCATATAATCAGCATATACTTAACGCACGTAATACACGTATATTCACATCCGTTATAAACATTCTAGATTCTATAGTCGATTAATCCATCGCGATGGCAGTAGCACGCGTTTTATATCAGAGATAATGACGACAAGTTAATGATAGACTCATTAACGAGGCCTCTCGTATCAAATGGTTCCGTTTAGCATCAAGATATTCAAGTAACAGGAAGCGGGTTGATAATGTCGAGCTATCTGCTCGTATATCACGCATTGCGAGACTCATCGCTGATACGCGATTAGCCGCGCTTCTATTTATGGCGCTTTGTACACTTTACACGAAAAATACTCTCCCCAGCGTTTAATAATACCGTATAAATTCTTATCTGTAAAAATTCCCAAATATCTGGCGCTTTAAGAAATCGACTGTTTATCGCGCTCGTTATGGTCGGTCCGATCGATACATGCGACCGTCGGAAAGTAAAGGCTTTGATAATTCGATGATTCAATGCCGATCATATATATGTACAAAAATAGGAGTGTTTAATAACAACAATAAGAGTGCGCAAAATTATTGCTCCGATGAATAGGCGCGTAAAACGCGAGCAAAATACGAACGTTATACAAAAGCACGTCTCGTTTTACAAAATAGCGTTTTATTTATTAGCTGCGAACGTCGCGAACGGAGTGACGCGATACTTCCGACGAACTTGAACGAACACGAGAGGACGTTCGTAGCCATCGCTGATATATCGATGCGATCCGTATATGAAGCAGTAAGCAAGGTAGCCCGTACCGCCCTGTAATTCAGTCGCCGCAACATCCAAATAAAGAATTCATAATGGCGATGATGATCACCGCCAATTTTCTCGATATATCCGATATACTAATAATTCAGGTGATCTCCGATCGGAATGAGTGTGCGATATCATTCATTCTCTCCCTCTCTCTCTCTCTCTCTCTCTCTCTCTCTCTCTCTCTCT